CCATTAAACCATTTGATGCCAACGTTGGCATCAACATCTGTTTTCAAACTTCGTCTCGCTCAAAACTGAAATAATTTTAGCCGTGGAGGTGACAATTTGTAACGCAGCAGCGCCTAACAAATCTAGCATCTCTCTCAGAGTCCCATAGGTGCGAGTGAGCCAACCGATGTCAGATGCGTTCCTGAATGGAATACTTGATTCATTCGCGCATGATTTTTCCACATCATCCACTTGATTACGCTCCTGAATGGAAGCGCTATTTAATTCATTCGAATCACTGTGTGAACACACAGAGCAAATACAGCGCTGAAGATGCTAGCCATGCGTGCTGGGGAAACGTCGGAACCAAATTTCCAATGACGAGAAATTAGATGTTTTCAAATTTGCCTTCATGCCCATGGGAACGTTACCAGTTTCGAGAAAGAAACGATTTTTCATGTAGCGATTCGCAGGAAAACCATAACACTTTCTCTATGTCGGGAACAATGGCAAAGGAAAAAACTGATTGAAGATCATTTAAAACAGCACACTGGCGTTTGACCGCTTAACAAGCGAACGAGTGTCGTAAATCTTCCACGTCCAGACAGTTCTTAGGGCCTGAAGGACTATACATCATCGGGAAATCAGCGTCGTGATACACGGAAGGGGAGAAATGTTGTTGAAAGTGTAACAATCAGCGGTTATTCTTTTGCCGGTGGAAAAAGCTGCCGATTATGGGCAGGAAAAGCGAAATTGCATAACTTGATGTAGGTGGGCTTAAATCAAGTGCCACTTGCAGGACGCCAAAACGAAAATTCCTCAACATTGAACTGGCGCCACAACTACATATTTTCACTCAACAATTACTTTGTAGTTCAAGTTGACTCGTTTTTCTGGCAGGCGACTATTGATTTGACCGTTGCAAGTTTGGCGGGTTTTAACCGCTCAAAGATGAAAATCTCGGCACAATTTGGGGACGATTCGCCCGAATGAATTTGGCAATTTTCAATTTGCGCCCCCGGGGCCTCTCTTTTGATCCGAAAACATTCCGGACGTTTAGAGCGCCCGACGAGTAAACTGTGACGAAAACTCATTCAAGAAGGGTGGCAAATCGGACGGAAATGCACCAACCCTTAATTGTTTCGGTCGCGTAAATAATTGCTCGATTTTCGCATATCGAGCTTACTGAAGGTAATTCCGACCGCAGGATTTTTAGCCCAACTGCCAAATAAGCCGAGATCTGGACGAAGTCGAGCTGAACAAAGCGAAATTTACTCGATTCCTGGCCATACCAGACTGGCTGGAATGGCTGCGCTGGTGAACGAATGGACATCTGTTTCACAATTTATCCAGAAATTCTTCTAATTCATCATCACTGATCGATAAGTTGTTTAAGGCACTTTCTCTGGATTTTATCGCCTATCGATCCGGACGATCTGAACCGAAAACCCGCTACTTGGCTTGATCAAAACAAGACGGCGGTAACAAGATTACACGTTTATTAAGTTCCATGGGTTTGTCTTTACCGAAATTGGGGCGAAACACGTGCAACAAAATCCCTGTGGGTTCTCACAAAGTGTCTGTAAAGTTAACAACTTTTCGGAAGAAA